TGTGTGTGTGTGTGTGTGTGTGCGTGCGTGCGTGCGTGTCTGTATTTCTTTGCGTACGTGTGTGCACGTGTGTAGGTGCAGTGCTGGTTGAGCTGGTGGTATGTGTTCTGGTACGTGATCCTTTTCCTAGTGCAACTTTATGTAATTAGGTTTTGTTCTTGCCATGTACAAATGTCTTAGGAAGCATCCGCTACGGTAGGTAAGGCGGTGTTTTTCTGAGGCTAAGTTCACAGCAGTAATTCGGGCCAATATCACTGCGGAAAGATTGTCAGTTACCGGTGCAGTGTCGTGGTGTTACCCCTTGACGAGATTGTACGGTCATTCTGCTACAAGACGCAGCGGCGAGTCTAAAAATCTGTTGACGTAGTTTTTTCCCCTCCTTTCCTCAGTGCTTTTGTCACTTCACTCATCAAGCTCCCATTCCCTCTCTCTCTCTCACCCCTCCCCCCGTCACTTCCGCCCCTTCCCCGTCTCCTTCCTCCCCTGTCCCCCCTTTCCTTGCTCACATAGGGAACCTGGGCTTCCCGGGGCGCGAAATCACCGACTAAACTGCGTGCTGCTGAGGGGTACTGCCAATGAACTTAGGTTGCCGCCTGTGGCGTTTGCACGCGTTATGGCACTCGCCACTACTGTGCGCAGCCGTCGCTGAACAGTGCGTGTACACGCAGCAGCCGCTGGACAGTGCCGTCCCGCCCGCACGCGGCTGCGAAGTGTTGCACTGTTCCAGCTGACTCCGCTCACCTCACTGCTCTCCCTCGCCGATCCGTTTTTGCGGGTGGGGAGGTGGGCTGGTGTTAATGTCCCCTTCGGGCGGAGCTGGGGCGCGCGCGGTTGTTTCACCCCAGCTTGCAACCAGCCCTCGTGGCTGCTCCCCGCTCATCTCTTCGCTGAGTTGCGTGCACTATATGGCGGGAGTTTTAAGTTGCCGGGGCACAGAGGGAAGCAGTGCTCTTCTCTCCGCACAGCCATTCTCTCTCGTTGCCCGGCACTGAGGGTGTGATGGGAAGATCCGTGCGAGGGACGGGAAGTCTGCGGGCATTGGGGGAGGGGAGGAGGGAGCGTGGGATGAGCCCCCTCCCTCATTCTTCGCGTTCCTCATAATGTGAGAACTGGTCGCAGCGGTACTGGCTGCAGCAACTGGAATAATTATTCGATTGCAATTGCATTCCATCGCATCCGGCATTCCCTGCAGGGCGGCGACGAGGGGGAGGGCGAGGGCTGCACGAATAGTTAGCAGTTAATAATTTTTGCTCGGAGAGTTATTGGGTGCGTCCCTTGCTACCCCGTTTTCTCAGTTCCCAGGTGCACCGACATTTCTGCATTGTTGTGGCGCCATGCAACTTAAAGTGTAGCGATAG